TGCCCAGTGTGGGATTGTTCTAAAGCCCATGTTCATGGGAAAAGAATATTGTCCTCCCTGGATCTTCTAATCAGGTCAAGCCTTCTGCTTCTGTTTGCTGTTTATGCTGCTTGCTTGCTTTTGCTTTTGTCTTGTTTGCTTGCTCTATTGGTAGCTTGAGGGAGGTGCTTGAGCCATTTGTTCTGAGGAGACTCGTTGCTTTTCTCTCTATGTACATTTTTGCTTTATACACTTTGAGGGTTATTAGCTCTAGGCATGCTTAAGAGGGTCGCAATTGTGTATTTGTTTTATATTATGCATTAAAATCTAACTCTATAGATAGGGGTGGAAGTGTTTTTTTTCCCTATTACATATGCATATGACAACTGGAGTCTCTAGACACACACCTGTATCAAATGGAGAGTCTATCTAAGTGGGAGTTTTCACTCCCCCCACCCATGAGCACTGCAACTCAGGGTGCTACAGTGTTGTACTGAATGCCCAGAGCCACGGAACCCTCAGCAGGGTGCAGTGAAGAAGGTGCCTGGGCCACTCAACTTCTTACACTGCAGGACACAGTGCAAATGCATTTCTGCTTTCAGGCTGACTTCAGAGCACTCCAGCGAAGTATTTTTAAATAGAAAAGCATTACTTTACATTATGGAATCTGTTACCATATCAGTGGAAACTAGCACCTTTAACAGCAAAAACAATAAAAGGACAAGTGCACATAGAAAAATAAATGATGACAATAGATAAATCGCTGCTTTGCCAAGTGGCCTTGAAGAGACAAGGGGGTTGTCATGGGATAAATAAGGTTGGGTGTTTAACAGTCCTAGCAATTAGAACCTATGCAAAATTACCAGAAAATGCACCAGAAATGAAGGACACAATTTTCAAAGAGAGTGATAGGAGCCTATTATCATTATAGTGGATAACACCTTGTAGAAAGTTTCCTTTGTGGAAGCCATTTTAGTACATCCCATTTTCTGTACACTCTCTCTCTCTCTCTCTCTCTCTCTCTCTCTCTCTCAATCTCTCTCCCCCTCCCCTTAAAAGGCATTTTAGTACTGCTGAAGGCATTTAATTTAGTACATTTTATTTCATTTAGGGTGTATGGTAACTTTTTTTTCACTAAAGGAGGAGGGATAGTGAAAACAAAAATGATTAGGTAGATGATGCTTTGATTTCTTCTTAGAAGTGACTGGCCATTCATGTTGTGGAGCTTTATAATTCCATCTTGCTTAAAACATAGCCATGGGTAACTCCGTGGCATGTTTATCATCCATTGGGGATGGTGTGGGAAAAGAGAGCCATGTAATTCCTGTCTGAGGGAATTCCTTGACTTCATTTATTTAGCCTTAAGAAAAATGCATGATGCGCCCGGAGAGACCTGGGGAAGAATTCAGTGTACAAGCTTTTACGGACTCTAATGAATGCTTGCCTCTGTTTTCCCTGACACTGTATAAAAAGTTCTATTTTGTGGAGAAGTCTCCGTTAAACCTCACTCGGAGCTGGAGTTCATCAGCAGATGCAGCATAAGTGCACGGCTGCTGGCCTCTTCCTGTTTTTCAGTGAGTCCAGGCTTGGCCAAGAGTCAGGTCCCCAGCCTCATGAGCAGCAGCTGACTGCCCTGTCCTGCTGGCCATGTGGGGCCTGGACTCTACCAGGCAGGTCTCACTGTGTGATGTTGTTGCTGCTCTTCTAGTGTACATAATGATAATGTCATCCATCTAGTGGGTAAAAGTGTACCCAACCACTAGGATCCCACTTTGTCTCAGGGACCTGTATATATATATATATATATATGAATGAATGGGACCTCTGTATGATACTTCTCCACCCTAGACTAGGAGATCATGGCAGAAGAGGGAGCAGACAAACATTTAGAATCATAGACAGTAGATGATTGCAAAGAAATGGTGTTTTTCTGACACAGTAGAGTAGTCACACACATGAATTAACAACAGTTGTGACAGCGTGCACATGGCCTGCATGGGCTCAGGTCAGGTAAAATTCTAGCATAAAAAGGAGAGGTGTTAGCTGGTATCATCTTTGTAGATCTCCAGACCTTTCCCTAGTGCCTGATTTCTCTGTAAACCTAAAATGTCTCCCTCTATTATGGTATCTCCATTCTTGTTATCTTCTATTCTTCCCCTGACTCAACCTTTCTGCTCCTTCATGTCCTCTGCATCCTTCCTCTTCTCCCCTTCTTCTCCTAGCTCCCTCCCCCCTCTTCCTGTGCTCCCAATTTGTTCAGGAGATCTTGACCCTTTCCCCTTCTCCAGGGGAC